GATAGATAAAGCCCATCAGTAAGAATGGCTGGGAATCAATTCCCCTTGTTTCTTCAAAGGTTCTGTGGTAGGAGAAGAGAAGGCAGGGTGAAGAAAACTGCATTTTTGTTCTGCTGCAATTGAAGAGATGTCAGCCTCGACGGAGAAAAGGCAGGTGTGAAGTTCTGAGAGAGGAGACACTGAGGAGAAAGGGAAGAATACCAGGCATCTTTAGCTGTTGGGTAGACAGGACTCTTCTTAGAAGAATGCCAAGCTAATATAACTTAGCTCCTTACCTTCATTCCTCTGCTGTGCTATATGTTCCTATATTGTCTTCAATTACTCCAAAATTATCTTTTTTTTTTGAGACCTTTGGGGAACACCTCAAGCCATCAGAAACTGGGATTGTATATTTTTTTTTTCTATTTGCTTGACAGTTAAAGCCCCTTTAATATGTATGTTTCAAGCTCATTGTAGTAAGGGAGATGCAGTTCTGTTTGGTAGGTGTACTGGAAGATAATGCTAACCTTGTGTGATAGATGAGCGGAGGAGGTTCAAATGTACTGTGAACTGCTGACTTTACAAAGCTTCCTGAATTTCCTTAGTGCTTCCAAATTTCAGCTTCCTTTATGTCAGTGTAGTATAGCTGATAAGGTGAAGCCACCCTTGCTTCTGATTTTGGGTTGGTTACTGGAGAATTTTGTGGTGTTTGAGCATCAACTGGCAGCACAAATATCAATGGCACATTTGGAAAGGTCTGTGTCATTCCTAGTGACAACTGAGTTTCTGAACTTTCTTAGGACTTTTCTTCCTAATGTTCCATTTGTATAAAAATGTGGAATTTGAGTAGACTTAAGTCATTGTTTACATTGCCATAAAATAAAGTCCACTGTTACTTTGTTCTTGATCAGCTCTAACCATGTATATAAAACTTCACTAATGACTTCTTGAACAAAAGGAAGGTGACAATCGGGAAGCCATATGACAAACACAATTTCATATTATTTAGTATTAAAATGCCCTGCAACACCTTTAATTCTAAATTTTGGAGCTTGTATGTGAATGTATAACTCAGGTGGTGGTTCTAAGAGCAATGGGCATTTGTTCAGACCTTACACTTTTGCAATGCAGAACATTGTGTCCTATGTTCAGAGATGATGAAATAAGCTGTCTACAACATAATAACTGGGAATGTTGCATCTTTTTTTTAATAAGCAAAGTTAAAATTGCAGCAACAGAATGCCAGTTTTGCTACTGTTCTGTAGTGAAAATTCATGGTTCTTTCATACTAATGGGGATTTTTTTTTTCAGTCAAAGCTTTTTTTTGTTTGTTTGTTTAAGATAAGGCAGCTACGCGGATGGGGATACCTGACGTAATGGGAAAACCCCATGTATGACACATACACACCATCAGGTTCCTCACACCCTGGAGCAGATAGCACCTGCAACCCAGCTGTGCCGGCCGTGACTGGTGTTGAACTGTATCTGTCTCACCTGCTGTTCCAAATCTGGCACTGGCAGAGAAAACCAGAGCATGCACGACATGACCCTGGCGTTTCTGATTTGGGTAGAGTTTATCCACAGTGGTAACAGCCTCGGGTTTGCTTCATGTGTTTGTGGTTTGTTGTGCCAGTGCTGAAAGCTCTGGTAGATGCAGTTATGGTGTGAATGCATAAGTAGTTAAGCAGGAATAGGATCAAGTCTTTGTGGCATGTTAGAGCCAGCTCAGTGCTACCTGTGCTAAACTGGGACTGGCGCTGAACAACCTCGTCACTGTGTCCACGTCACATTCCCAGTGCTCTTTGTTAGCCGTGGAGAGTGTAAGGGTGAACGTGCCACATACATGCAGTCAACTGAGGCTAATCAGTATTTATTTGGTTCTCCGAAAAGCATCTGGATTTCTTCTGAGCAATTCCTCCCCCCCTTCCAAGGGACCCCAGAAGCAGTAAGGGCATTTGTTATAGGCAGAAATGGCTTAACCGGAAGTCAACATAAATCCTCTGTGGGCCACCAGGAGCTGTCTCAGTACTCATCCCGGAAAAAAAAGATGTTGAGGCAGGCAGTCACGAACCTCTCTAGGATTTTGGATAGTTCCGTGCAAGGCATGGTACTGAATCAACTTGTAATGCACAATGTTAGACCAGACCTTTTTCACTGGAAAGCCTCCGGTGGTGACAGTCTGGGCACAGGGAGGTAGATGGGGATTCCAGGTGAAGCGAGTGCGTGTAGGTATATTACAGCAATTTCAAAGACATGGGATGTTGTGCCTCATTCTTCTCTACCTTCTCTGTCCTCTTTCTCATTAAGCCAATCTCCAGGTGTATCAAATAAGAAATATTTTTGTTCAGTGCACGTTGTAGGTAGTTATATGAAAGAACTAGATCTGCAGCTTTCTGGCATCTGAAGAAAAAAAAAAAATCGATGTTCCTTTTACCCCCCAAGCCCCCACCCCCCTGCCAACACAGAAGCAAAGCCTGCTATTTTGAGTTCTGCAAAACAGCAGCCTTGTTGGCTCATGGGATCAAGTTTTTGTGAAGCATATTCATGACAGTAGTCACGTTTTCTTCTAGGAAAAAACCCTGCACTACCAGGGTAATAACTGTAGGGGCATTGCTTTTCATTTTCTAATCAGTGATTCTTTTCAGATGGGAAGTTCCTAAACTGTTGTAGCTTGTTCCAGCCAGTTCTTGCTAGTAACAATTTGTTCTCTTCTCTTGTTTTGCTGTAACCCAAGCCATTTGGAAACAATGCAAGACATCCTGTAGTTCAAGATCTGTTAGAACAATGAACTTTAGCCTCCTGTGCCCAAGCTAAAACGAGGATCATCACATGCTTATGCAAAGCTGCTTAAAATAGTGCCTAGATCTTGTTTGTTTAGTGTGATTCTCATATTAAAAAACAAAACAAAACAAAACCAAAACAAACAAACAAACAAACCAGTGCACTTTCTCATGTCCTTTGCACTGTCTGTACAGATAAAATTGCATTTCTTAAGTGACTTTCAAAAACCAGTTATTAGCAGGATTTGCTGCTGTTCACCAAGCTTGTTCCTAGTAATAGTCTTTCCTGTGTCACTATCTTCTATGAAAATTCTGTGCTGCACTGTTAAATGTCAGAACCATCATGTACTTGACTGTAAACCTGGTGAATAAACAGATGCAGCATATCACTAAGCTGAAATCCAACGGGCTGCATTTGGCAGAACTGAGTCACCTACAAAGAAGCGTGTTTCCCTTTTTTGCATGAGTATTTTTCTCCTTATCCCTCGTAGAACCTGCAGCTGTCGGTGAGCTTCCTGGTGCTGCAGATGCACTGCCTGGCCTGTCTGTGCAACCCGTAGTGGCTTAACTGATCTACACATGGAGCCACAAGCACAGAGAATAACATTCCCTAGCTAAGGCTTTAGTGCTGTAGTATGCAGTGCAGATTAGGGGACACAAGCCTGCTGTAATTTTTTTTGCCAGCAAATTATCTCTCTTTTCTCTCCCAGAAAACCACCTCTTGTGACACCTACTGGCATAGAGTTGTGAACTTAAGGTATTTAATCCTGTATGAGCCTCCTTACAGCAGAAAGCAATGCTCTCTGAAGTTAGACTCAAACTGGATGAAGAAATATGAATAGGGATGCCTTTCACTGACACCTGATGCTGCTGGGATCTTTGCAGATACTCTCATGCTCCCTGTTTTGATTCCAGCTATGTCCACCCTCTTCCTGCAGCCAGCACTGCTGCTCATTTACATTTGTAATGAGCCATTCTGTTTACTAAACTGATGGAAAACATTGTTTGTTTGGTTTGGTTCAGTTCCCTGTTGCTTTAGTGACCTGAGTCTGCTCTGCTGTAGGATCAAATTTGCCATAGTACCTGGTGTAAAGGAGGGAAGAGGGAAATGGGATTCCCTGCTTTTGGTGTAAGCTGCTGTGGAAACCACAGCCCACATCACAACAGGAGTATCCAGAGCTTGTTATCGCCTTAAGTCTTCTTTGACTTAAACCTGTATGGTGACATCTGGTCCACCAAGGTGGTATTTGCCTCTGTGAGTGGGCATCACAAGCCTTTATCTGAGCAGCATCGAGGCCACCTTTTTCTAGTCTGAAGAACATTTCTTTGGGGACAGTGCTGCTACAGCAGCTCCTCAGTGGTTCCTCTGCTCCTATGCCCCTTGTGTAACCCAGCAATTCCCAGGGTTCATGATTCGCAGGGAACATGATTTGGGAACAAGTCTGTTTTAAAGAAATAAATTTAAAAAGCCATCCAGAGAAGTAGCATTAACTCAGATTGGACACTGGTTAAACCTTGATTCTGGCCCTGCAATAGCAGTACCGGCATAGGGGGCAGTGCAGGACAGGATCCATCAGCAGGGTCTGGTTAAACTAGTGCTGCTTCTGGTAGGAATGTCAGTCAAAATCCTCCCTTGTAAGCAAATATTT